TATTTTAGCCCATCAACATGTCATGTCTACAGATGAGCCCAGAGGACTACAGGGAACATTCCTACGTGTGCAGGCCGGAGGAGGTCGATATTGATGTAAGTTCAACGCCCCACCATACTACTACTGTACTACTATACTACTATCCTCTGTAGCTCAGCTGGTAGAGCACGGCGCTTGTAACGCCAAGGTAGTGGGTTCGATCTCCGGGACCACCCATACACCAAAAAAAATGTATGCACGCATGACTGTAAGTCGCTTTGGATAAAAGCGTCTGCTAAATGGCATATTATTATAGACCTGGTACAGCGTTTGTATAGTTACATTTTAGTCATTTAGCAGACGCTCTTATCCAGAGCGACTTACAGGAGCAATTAGGGTTAAGTGCCTTGCTCAAGGGCACATCGACAGATTTTTCACCTAGTCGGCTCGGGGATTAGAACCAGCGACCTTTCGGTTACTGGCACAACGCTCTTAACCACTAAGCTACCTTCCCCCTGTGTTGTTGTCTCTAGAAAGATAACCGGGTTATCTGATCTAATGATCCATAATGATGTTTGTCCTCAGGCCAAGCTGAGCAGGTTGTGTGAACAGGACAAGGTTGTGAGGACACACGAAGACAAGGTACAGCAGCTACACAGAGAGAAGGTAAAGGATCAGTCTACAATACAGTATCTATTCACCACATACTGTATTCAACACAATAAGTGTGCCCAATATATAAACTCAGCAAAAAAAGAAACGTCCCTTTTTCAGGACCCTGTCTTTCAAAGATAATTCGTAAAATTCCAAATAACTTCACAGATCTTCATTGTAAAGGGTTTAAACACTGTTTCCCATGCTTGTTCAATGAGCCATAAACAATTAATGAACATGCACCTGTGGAACGGTCGTTAAGACACTAACAGCTTACAGACGGTAGGTAATTAAGGTCACAGTTATGAAAACTTAGGACACTAAAGAGGCCTTTCTACTGACTCTGAAAAACACCAAAAGAAAGATGCCCAGGGTCCCTGCTCATCTGCGTGAACATGCCTTAGGATGCTGCAAGTTGGCATGAGGACTGCAGATGTGGCCAGGGCAATAAATTGCAATGTCCATAGTATGAGACACCTAAGACAGTGCTACAGGGAGACAGGACGGACAGCTGATCGTCCTTGCAGTGGCAGACCACGTGTAACAACACCTGCACAGGATCGGTACATCCGAACATCACACCTGTGGGACAGGTACAGGATGGCAACAACAACTGCCCGAGTTACACCAGGAACGCACAATCCCTCCATCAGTGCTCAGACTGTCCTCAATAGGCTGAGAGAGGCTGGACTGAGGGCTTGTAGGCCTGTTGTAAGGCAGGTCCTCACCAGACATCACCGGCAACAACGTCGCCTATGGGCACAAACCCACCATCGCTGGACCAGACAGGACTGGCAAAAAGTGCTCTTCACTGACGAGTCGCGGTTTTGTCTCAGCAGGGGTGATGGTCGGATTCGCGTTCATCTTCGAAGGAATGAGCGTTACACTGAGGCCAGTACTCTGGAGTGGGATCTCAACGCTGTGCGTTACAGGGAAGACATCCTCCTCCCTCATCTGGTACCCTTCCTGCAGGCTCATCCTGACATGACCCTCCAGCATGACAATGCCACCAGCCATACTGCTCGTTCTGTGCGTGATTTCCTGCAAGACAGGAATGTCAGTGTTCTGCTATGGCCAGCGAAGAGCCCGGATCTCAATCCCATTGAGCACGTCTGGGACCTGTTGGATCGGAGGGTGAGGGCTAGGGCCATTCCCCCCCAGAAATGTCTGGGAACTTGCAGGTGCCTTGGTGGAAGAGTGGAGTAACATCTCCCAGCAAGAACTGGCAAATCTGGTGCAGTCCATGAGGAGGAGATGCACTGCAGTACTTAATGCAGCTGGTGGCCACACCAGATACTGACTGTTACTTTTGATTTTGACCCCCCCCCCCCCCCCCCCCGTTCAGGGACACATTATTCCATTTCACATGTCTGTGGAACTTGTTCAGTTTATGTCTCAGTTGTTGAATCTTGTTATGTTCATACAAGTATTTACACGTGTTAAATTTGCTGAAAATAAACGCAGTTGACAGGAAGAGGACGTTTCTTATTTAGCTGAGTTTAGCTGTTAGAAAGCTACTGGCTACTTGGCGATTTTTGTCAACATGTCATGACACCTATCACCTATCAAAGCGGTTGGAAAATTACACGGACAATTACACTGCCTTGTCACTTGACATTCAGAGATACAAGATGTCATGTTTATTATGACACTGTGTTACAGTGCTATAGTAAAGTTTTCTAATATCTAATGGCGGACCCCTCTGCAGCACACCCTGGAGACGGCCCTGCTGTCGGCCAGTCAAGAGATAGAGATGGGTGCTGATAACCCAGCAGCCGTACACAGTGTTATCCAGCAGAGAGACGTGCTGCAAAGTGGCCTGCTCAGCACCTGTAGAGAACTGTCACGAGTCAACACTGTGAGTTAATACATTTATCCACTCTAAACGCAGATACACACGCACACACACACACACACACACACACACACACACACACACACACAAACACACGTGAGCACACACGCACGCACACATACACACACACTGAAATATTACCAGAGAGGAGAGTTAGTGAACTCTCTTCCTGTCCCCCAGGAGTTGGAGCGGTCGTGGAGGGAGTATGAGAAGATGGAGGGAGACGTCTCATTGGCCAAGAACAACCTGCTGGATCAGCTAGAGGCCCTGGGGAGCCCTCAGGTAAACCACAACAACCCCCACCTTACTCTGCCTTACTGTGGGAGTGTGTAGATTATGAAGAATAGAGGTCCCAGCACCGAGCCCTGGGGAACACCCTGTGGAACTTTGTTAGTGTCAGATGTGTAGCCGTCGAGAGAGATGAATGGTTTCCTGTTAGTCAGGTCATTCTACTCCCGTCCATCCATTCCTGTAGTTCTTACTCCCTCTCAATTTGACCCCATCAATCCATCCATCCATCCATCCATCCATCCATCCATCCATCCATCCATCCATCCATCCATCCATCCATATTAGCTGATGGAGGTGTAATAACATCAATGGGGAAATAGAGCTGTAAGGCAGCCAGGTGATTAATAACCACGTTGTGAGAAGGGGGCCCCGGGGGGGTTTTTTTTTTTTTTTGCTTCTTTTTTGGGGGGGGGCCGAAGTTTGGGGGAAGGGCCCAAACAGGGAAGGGAAAAAAAAAGGGGGGGGGGGGGTTTGGGGGGGTTTGGGGTTTCTTGAAAAAAAAAAAAACCCCCAGGTTTTTCTGGGGGGAAAGAACAAGGTTAATCCGGGGTTAAAATTTGAAGGAAAAAAAAACGGGTTACCTTTCCTTTTAAATTAATGTTTTCCCTCAGTCAGAGCCCCAAAAGATTTAAATAATAGGCAAAAAAAGAAAAGAAGGGGGGATGGATGAGGGAGAAAAAGCATTATTGGAAAGGACCAACAAAACCACCACCACCCAAAAACCGGGCCGTATCCCCGGGGGTGTCTTATTTTCCCCTGCCTTTTCTCCCTTTTCCCCCCGGGGGCCCAGCGGCTTTCACTCGTTATTTTTTTTTTGAGAGAAAAGGATAAATTTGTATTTTTTTTTCCCCCTTTCCCCCAAGGGGGAGAGGAAAAAGGAGAGGGGAAGGGGAAAAGGGGGGGGGGAGGGGGAGAGAAAAGGGAGGAAGGAGAGGGGAGAAAGGGAGAAGGAAGAAAAAAAAAGCAAAAAGAGGAGGAAAAAAAAAAAAGAAAGGGAGAGAGAAAAGAAGGAAGGGAGAAGGAAGGGGAAAAAGGGAGAAGGGAGGAAAGAGAGAGTAGGAGGGAGGAAAGGGGGAAGGGGAAAAGGGGGAAAAAAAAGGGGGGGGGGAAAAAAAAGAGAAAAAAAAGGGAGGGGGAAAGGGGAGAAAGGGGGGGGAGGGAAGAGAAAAAAAAAAAGGAAAAAAAAAGGGGGAGGGGAGGAAAAAAGGGAAAAAATTTTTTTTCCCCCCGGGGGGGGGGCCCGGGGGGAACCCAGGGGGCGGCAGGGGGGGGGGGGCCCCGAGGGAAGGGGAGGGGGGGAGGGGGGGCGGGGGCGGGGGGGGGGGGGGGGCCCCAAAACAGGGGGGGGGGGGGCCCGGGGGGGGAAGGGGGGGAAAGGGGAAGACCCCCGGGGGGGGAGGAAAAAAGGGGAGAAGGCGGCGGGAGGGCGGAAGAGGGCCCCCCCCCCCGTTCCCAAACCCCCAGTCCCCCCCCCCCGCCCGCCCAAAACCCCCCCCCCCCCACCCCCGGGGGGGGCGGCCGCCCCCGGCGGGCCCGGCCCGGGACCGGGGTCGAAGGGGAAAACGGGGGGGAAAAAAAGGGGGCCCAAGGGGGCACAAGGGGAGCGGCCAGGGGGGGAAAAGGACCGAGAAAAAAAAAAGCAACCCCCGGGAAAACCAAAACCCCCCCCCTTTTTTTTGGACCCCAAAAAAGGGGTTTTTTTCCCCCAAATTTTTTTTTGGGGGGAAATAAAAAAAAAAGGGGGCCCCCCGAAAACCCCCAAAAGGGGAAAAAAAGGGGGAAAAAAAGCGCCAAGTAATGGAAAAAAACGGGTTTTTTTTTCTTCTTTTTTCAACACCCCCCACCCCCCTTCCCCCCTTTTTTGTAACGCGGGCGGCGGGGGGGGGGGAAAAGGGCGGCAGGGGGCCGGGGAAAAAAAGGGGCCGAGGGGGGGCGGCCCCCGAGGCAAAAGCGGGGCGAGGGGGGGGAAAAGGGGCGGGGCGCCGCGGGCGGGGCGGGGCCCGGGGGGGGGGGGGGACCCCCAGGGAGCGAAAGGGCGGGGAACGGGGGGGAAAGGGGTGGGGAAAAAAAAAGGGAAAAGCCAAACAACCGAAGGGAGGGGAGAGAAAAGGGGCCAAAAAAAGGGAAAAGGGGGGGAAAAAAAGAAGAGGGAAGGCGAGCAAAAGAGAGAGAGAGAGAGCAGAGTTTTCCCCCGCTTCTTTTCCTCTTCCTTAAACCACTCTCTCTCTTCTCTCTCTCTCTTCCTTCCTCTCCTCTTTCTCTAGCTAAATCTCTTTTCCCCCCCCCAAACCTCCCGGGGGGGGCGGGGGGTCAAGGCACTGAATTTCTCAGTTCCCTAGAGGCGTCACTACAGCCCCGGGGTTCGATTCCGGGTTTTTTTAATCAAACCCCCGGCTGTAAATTGGGAAAGTCCAAAGGGGCGGCGCAAAATTTGGGGCCTAGCGTGTCCGGGTTTTGGCCCGGGGAAAAGGACCTTTCTTTGTAAATAAAAATTTGTTTTAACTGCCTATTTAAATTTTTAAACCCCCCCTCCCCCTTTTTCCTTTTCCTAAATTTTAAAAGGATTTTCTTCTAAATTTAAATTTTAGGGCTTTTCTCTCTCTCTCAATTCAATTTTAGGGCTTTTCTCTCTCTCTCAATTCAATTTTAGGGCTTTTCCCTCTCTCTCTCTCTCTCTCTCTCTCTCTCTCTCTGTCGTTGGCTTTTATCACCTTTCCTGCTTTTTCTTTCAAATGTTCTTTCTCTTTCTGTCCAATGTACATGGTAAATTTACAATCTGCGTGTGTGTGTGTGTGTCTGTTCTTGTGTGTGTTCAGACGGAGCCCCCCAGCCAGCAGCATGTCCACATCCAGAAGGAGCTGTGGAGGATCCAGGATGTAATGGAGGCCCTCAATAAGAACAAGGCCCAGAGACACGCAGACACACAGGGATACTACGGCTCTACACCCATCTCCAACAAACACAAGAGTGAGGTGAGGACCAGACAAATGCTAGCAAGCACGCACACGGATGGACAGACAGGCACGCGCACACACGCACACACACACACACACCACACACACACACGTCGACTAGACTTCCTGGTAGTACAGTATGTAGATGGTTACAGTATCTCACAAAAGTGAGTACACCCCTCACATTTTTGTAAATATTTGAATATATCTTTTCATGTGACAACACTGAAGAAATGACACTTTGCTACTATGTAAAGTAGTGAGTGTACAGCTTGTGTAACAGTGTAAATTTGCTGTCCCCTCAAAATAACACAACACACAGCCATTAATGTCTAAACCGCTGGCAACAAAAGTTTGTACACCCCTAAGTGAAAATGTCAAAATTGGGCCCAAAGTGTCAATATTTTGTGTGGCCACCATCATTTTCCAGCCCTGCCTTAACCCTCTTGGCCATGGAGTTCACCAGAGCTTCACAGGTTGCCACTGGAGTCCTCTTCCACTCCTCCATGACGACATCACGGAGCTGGTGGATGTTAGAGACCTTGCACTCCTCCACCTTCCGTTTGAGGATGCCCCACAGATGCTCAATAGGGTTTAGGTCTGGAGACATGCTTGGCCAGTCCATCACCTTTACCCTCAGCTTCTTTAGCAAGGCAGTGGTCGTCTTGGAGGTGTGTTTGGGATCGTTATCATGGTGGAATACTGCCCTGCGGCCCAGTCTCCGAAGGGAGGGGATCATGCTCTGCTTCAGTATGTCACAGTACATGTTGGCATTCATGGTTCCCTCAATGAACTGTAGCTCCCCAGTGCCGGCAGCACTCATGCAGCCCCAGACCATAACACTCCCACCACCATGCTTGACTGTAGGCAAGACACACTTGTCTTTGTACTCCTCACCTGGTTGCCGCCACACACGCTTGACACCATCTGAACCAAATAAGTGTATCTTGGTCTCATCAGACCACAGGACATGATTCCAGTAATCCATGTCCTTAGTCTGCTTGTCTTCAGCAAACTGTTTGCGGGCTTTCTTGTGCATCATCTTTAGAAGAGGCTTCCTTCTGGGACGACAGCCATGCAGACCAATTTGATGCAGTGTGCGGCGTATGGTCTGAGCACTGACAGGCTGACCCCCCCCCACCCCTTCAACCTCTACAGCAATGCTGGCAGCACTCATACGTCTATTTCCCAAAGACAACCTCTGGATATGACGCTGAGCACGTGCACTCAACTCCTTTGGTCGACCATGGCGAGGCCTGTTCTGAGTGGAACCTGTCCTGTTAAACCGCTGTATGGTCTTGGCCACCGTGCTGCAGCTCAGTTTCAGGGTCTTGGCAATCTTCTTATAGCCCAGGCCATCTTTATGTAGAGCAACAATTCTTTTTTTCAGATCCTCAGAGAGTTCTTTGCCATGAGGTGCCACGTTGAACTTCCAGTGACCAGTATGAGGGAGTGTGAGAGCGATGACACCAAATTTAACACACCTGCTCCCCATTCACACCTGAGACCTTGTAACACTAACGAGTCACATGACACCGGGGAGGGAAAATGGCTAATTGGGCCCTAATTTGGGCATTTTCACTTAGGGGTGTACTCAATTTTGTTGCCAGCGGTTTAGACATTAATGGCTGTGTTTTGAGTTATTTTGAGGGGACAGCAAATTTACACTGTTACACAAGCTGTACACTCACTACTTTACATTGTAGCAAAGTGTCATTTCGTCAGTGTTGTCACATGAAAAGATATACTCAAATATTTACAAAAATGTGAGGGGTGTACTCACTTTTGTGAGATACTGTATATTCAGCAGCCATAGAGGAGGGTTGGACTCTGTGTAAAGCCCTATTGTTGCTCTGCTCTGCTGTGTGACTGGATGTGTCAGTCATTGACTCTGTCCCTACTGTGACTCTGTCTATAACAGGGCTGGCTAGTAGTTACCCCTGTCTATAACAGGGCTGGCTAGCAGTTACCCCTGTCTATAACAGGGCTGGCTAGTAGTTACCCCTGTCTAGAACAGGGCTGGCTAGTAGTTACCCCTGTCTATAACAGGGCTGGCTAGCAGTTACCCCTGTCTATAACAGGGCTGGCTAGCAGTTACCCCTGGGTGTGTACCCGTACCTCACTGGGGGTCATAATCAGGACAGGCGGGACGGGGCTCATGTGTCAACTACCCTATCCTGTGGACTCTCTCTCTCTCGCTCGGCGCTCGCTCTCGGCTCTCTCTCGCGTCGCTCGATCCAAACAGCGAAGATCTACCGAACTAGCTTCTACTCTCGTACCCCACGAGCTCAAGCTTCTCTCTTCTACCCAGCTATCTCAAATCTCCTCTCTACCCCTCCATCTATCTCAATCTCTCTCTCTACCCCTCCATCTATCTCAATCTCTCTCTCTCTCTACCCCATCTATCTCAAACTCTCTCTCTCTCTCTCTACCCATCAATCTCTTCTCTACCCACTATCTCAATCTCTGTCTCTACCCCATCTATCTAATTTGTCTCATATCAATCCCCCCCCCCACCCCCCTTCTCTCTCCCCTCCATCTAGCTCAATCATTTTTATCTGTTCGACAGGGGTGTGTTTGTCTTTCGTCAAATTTTCTTAACTGTGACAAATGATGATGGAAACTGTGTTTTTCAGATAAATGATGATTGCCATGATGTTATCACGTAGGCTAACTATAAAGCTCCACTCCACATTTCATTCTAAATGTCGACCGCTTTGCAGAATCAATTTATTCAACTATAAAAAATAATGTTTATTTGCAGGACAAAGATTGTCCTGACTTTCAAGAATGCCTGAATTGCATCGCCTTGCTTTTCTGGTCGGCTGGATGCAAGTTTCACCATCCAATTATTTCAGATCTACAGGAGTGCAAGTTACACCATGACACGGACCGTGATAATGACTAGAATATGGCAAATATTAGTCTAGTCTATATATTATCCATGCTGGGTTTTGTGGGCTACTTCAGACATGAAACACAGGTGGAAAGGGCAAACAGGCCAATTTATTATTGTGCAAATTGGCTAAATGGATAATCGAAACACTTAAACCACATCATTTTTATTCGACATTCTAGTTTTTTTGTGAAAAGGTTTTATTTTTTAAGGTGTGACATCATTACATCCAGCTGTTTTTATTGACAACAAGACAGTTAATTGGAAACGCACCATAGCAGGAAATTGTTCCATCTATTATCTGGGCGAACTTTCTAAATGTCAACAAAATATCACTGGACAAGTTAATGGAAACATAGCTAATGAGTACAACCTGTATAAATAAAGTTGTAATTGTAAAGAAAGGTTCAGGCAGGCAGCTTAATTCTCTTCAAACATTTTATTGCTGCCCCATTTCTGAGACAAGCTCCTTTGTCAAAGCAATGTTGTGTAAATAAAGGTTGAATAACATCTCTAGGAGGAGGTGGAGGACCTCTCAGCACCCCCGAGGCCACCCTTACCACAGGCCTACGAGCCCAACCCCCCTGCTGTACCCCCCCTTCCCTCTCGTGTTACCTCCAGTGGGCGACCGCCACCACCCCGGGGTCCAGAGGACAGGGACAGGAAGGCTGGCCAGAGGAACGGAACACACAGCGTAAGCTGTTGACCTCTGACTAATGGCACCATGACTCAACCCTGCGCTGTCATCCCTCATCATTGCCTGAGCCCTCTTGATTTATTTCAGTGTAATTTTGGTGGACATATTTTGGGATTATTTTCAGTTTTCCTCATCATATTGTTTTTCTTTACCTTCTTGCTTTGTGAATCATCCAGATGTCCACTTTTTCAATTTACTATTTCAATATCATTTTGGTGGACTTGTGGGGTTTCCTTTTTGATTATTTTGAGTTTTCCCTGGATCCTTCCTCGTCATCCATGTGGATGTATTCTTTTGGTAATGTATTTTTTCCCTCATCATAAGGACCATCCTGTGTTTGCTGCTGCTGATCATCATCCATCTGATATTAGTTCAGCTTGCTTTGGGAATCATCCACATTTGTGTTTGTTTGTTTTGTTTGTGTTGATTGGTTTCTGTCTTTTTGGAGGTTATTTCAGTTCACTTGACTGGTTTTGTTTGTATTTATACGGTTGGTTGGTTTGTTGTCCTCTCATTTTGAGCTTAGTGAAACGTTATGAATACTACTGTCCATTTCCTTTGCAGATCATTGACATTTGTCTTTTTGATTTAAAGTTATCAGCATGTCTTCACTGTGAATCATTCCTTTACCCATACTCTCATGTCAGTGTGTACTGAGATCTCTTTCCTCATGTATCAGTAAGTATACTGACCTCTCTCCTCTCCTCCTCTAAGGTCCTGATCTCTCTCTCCTCTCCTCCTGTAAGGACCTCTCTCTTCTCCCCATGTAGGGTCCTGATCTCTCTCTCTCTCTCACCCATGTAAGGTCCTGATCATCTCCCTCTCCACCTGTAGGGTCAGGGATCTTCTCTCTCTCTCTCATCTACCCTGTAGGGTCCGATTCTCTCCTCTACACCTGTAAGTTGATATCTCCTTAATCTACCTGTAGGGTGCCTGATCTCTCTCTCTCTCTCTCCTCTCCCGTGGTAGGGTCCTGATTCTCTCTCTCTCTCTCCTCCCTGTAGGGTCTGATCTCTCTCTCTCTCTCTCTCCTCTTCTTCCCTGTAGCGTCTGATCTCCTCTCTTCTACTCTCCTACCTTAAGGTCCTGACCTCTCTCTCCTCTCACCATGTAGGCGTTCAGCTCTTCCCCCCCCTGTAGGGTTCCTGATCTATCTCTCTTCTCCTTCCCCCTCTTGTAGGGTCCTGATCTCTCTCCTCTCCCCCTGTAAGGTCCTGATCTCTCTCTCCATCCTTCCCCCTGTAGGGTCCTGATCCTCTCTCTCTCCTCCTTTCTCTCCCTGTAGGGTCCTGATCTCTCTCTCTCTATACCTCCCCCCTGTAAGGTCCCTGACTCTCTCGCCTCCTTCCCCCTGTAGGGTCCTGATCTCCTCTTCTTCCTCGCTCCCCCCTGTAGGGTCCTGAATCTCTCTCTCTCTCCTCTCCCCCTGTAGGGTTCCTGGATCTTCTCTCCTCTCCCCCTGTAAGGTCCTGATCTCTCTCTCTCCCTCTGCCCCTGTAGGGTCCTGATCTCTCTCTCTCTCCTCTCCCCCTGTAGGGTCCTGATCTCTCTCCTCTCCCCCTGTAAGGTCCTGATCTCTCTCTATCTCCTCTCCCCCTGTAGGGTCCTGATCTCTCTCTCTCTCCTCTCACCCTGTAGGGTCCTGATCTCTCTCTCTCTCCTCTCTCCCTGTAGGGTCCTGATCTCTCTCTCTCTCTCTCCTCCCCCTGTAGCGTCCTGATCTCTCTCTCTCCTCTCCTCCTGTAAGGTCCTGACCTCTGTCTCCTCTCCCCCTGTAGGGTCCTGATCTCTCTCTCCTCTCCCCCTGTAGCATCCTGATCTCTCTCCTCTCCCCCTGTAGCGTCCTGATCTCTCTCTCTCCTCTCCTCCTGTAAGGTCCTGACCTCTGTCTCCTCTCTCCCTGTAGGGTCCTGACTACAGGCTGTATAAGAGTGAACCAGAGTTGACCACCGTTACAGAGGTGGATGAAACCAACGGAGAGGACAGATCAGAACAGTCTGACAGAGACCCAGCGAACACCAAAGGTACACACACACAGACACACACACACACGCACACACACACACACACACACACACACACACACACACACACACTGAGACCAGAGACCCTTCAAACACCAAAGATAAATTACACGCATCAAAAATAATGGATCACTGGGTGAAGGTGCTACGTTACATCAGCTTGCTGCTCTCAGTTTGAAAATAGCCACACTATTGTACAGCTAATAACAAGATCATTGGTTTTATACCAATTTTCTGTATAAAATATATGTAATCAGAGCATAAATGTCTCAATTTGAATTTTCTTGAAAAGCTGAGAGCGCTATTATATGATACAATATCAGTACTTGTTGCATTTACAACTTGTCTAAGTCCTATCATCTACTGATTTGAGACAGTGTATGGCTGTGGATTGACTGCATTGTTTGAATGTAATGTTGTCATATTGTCAGTTAATTAGAAAAATTGATGGGATCATTCCTTTAAAATGGTCTAGCTAGCTAGCTAACAAACATACAGTGCAGATACATTCTTAAAAGTCATTATTTTACACAATATGTTATCACAGCACTGGCAAACCATGGTTGACCAACTCCCTGACCAAAATGGCTGACCTTTTATCCCATCATAAGAAGGTTCATGTCCATTCTAGTATTCTAATTCCTAATTATATGTGTAGAAGAATCTCATCTCTCACAGACAGACCTGCGAGTCTCACTGTTACCACGATAACGGCCCGCCCTTTAAAGGGTCAGCTGAAAATGTTTGTCTCACCTGACTCCAACATCTGAGGGTACTGTGTACTTGATTGACCAGGGAACACCCCAAAAACCTTTTGTTTATGAACTTTTAGTCATTTCTTATCATAAAAACACTCCTCCTCAAAATATTTCAATTGTGCTCCTAAATGTATTTGTGTGCTCCTACATGATTGGTTTCTGTCTTTTTGGAGGTTATTTCAGTTCACTTGACTGCTTTTGTTTTGTATTTATACGGTTGGTTGGTTTGTTGTCCTCTCATTTTGAGCTTAGTGAAACGTTATGAATACTACTGTCCATTTCCTTTGCAGATCATGGACATTTGTCTTTTTGATTTAAAGTTATCAGCATGTCTTCACTGTGAATCATTCCTTTACCCATACTCTCATTGTGCTCCTAAATGTATTTGTGCGCTCCTACATTTTTCAAACTTTGACAGTCGCATAAATATATTCAGCTGTGTGTCACAATTGCAACAACTGTGTGACTTGGTTACGGAACGTTAGTTATTTCTAACTGGACGCTCTGCTACCCCTTCTGTTCTCCCTCCAGGAATGTCGTACCCCGTTGGCATCGTTCCCCCCAGAACCAAATCTCCCAACATGCCAGAGTCTTCCAGCATCACCTCCTACGTCACCCTGAGGAGGGGAGGGAGGCCAGACCCGCGCATGGTGAGTACGTCCATGACATGTGTGGACATCAATATAGTTTATGAAGTGGATATTAGATCAGTATATCCAAGGGCTAAGTGGAATTGGTTAATGGGTGATTGTAGAGAACCACAATGGAAACTACTACACTACTGAGAGTGCAAGAGGTAATGAATTCATAATACAGAATGGCAGGCTGGTAAACAGCCAATACAGTAGGTGGTGGCAATACACTAATAGGTTGTAGTCTGCCATAAAACCTTCAAGAAGAAGAAGAAGGCGCAAGAGAAAATAATAACTATTTGATGCTGTGTGTGACTGCTGTTGCCTCCCGAGTGGCGCAGTGGTCTAAGGCAGTGGCTGTGCCACTAGAGATCCTGGTTCGAATCCAGGCTCTGTTGTAGCCGGCCGCGACCGGGAGACGCATGGGGCGGCGCACAATTGGCCCAGGGTAGGGGATGGAATGGCCGGCAGGGATGTGGCTCAGTTGGTAGAGCATGGCATTTGCCAGGGTTGTGGATTTGATTCCCACGGGGGGCCAGTATGAAAAAAATGTATGCACTCACTAACTGTAAGTCACTCTGGATAAGAGTGTCTGCTAAATGACTCAAATGTTTTAAAAAATGAAAATGTATCAGCCGTGTCTATGTGTTTGACTAAAACTGGCTCTCCTTCAACGCCATGGAGTGCACAGGTATTACGGTCGCTGACCTCTCAGCACCAAGAGCCTGTCGCTGTTGTTATTGGTGATCGTGGTGATCGTGGTGTTGGCTACCATAAGTTGTGTAAACAGTGCCTTATTTTATGCTGTGTGTCATGTTTAGGGTGACCACATTTTTAAATACCCAAATGCGGGACAACAGGATGATTTTGCGGGACATTTAGTAGTAGCCCCCCCCCCCCCCCCCCCCCCATTTGGTGATGCAGAAAGGAGAGACCAGGTGTGGCCGTTTTATGGAAATCAGGGAATACTTTTGCCAAGGAAACATTTCTGGTTGGTCTCAGGGAATGTAAAACATTTAGGAAGGGAGACTTTTAAAACGGGATTAAATGAAGTAGCAGCAAATATGTTGAATGAGCAACTAATGAGCATGGAGAACCCCACAAGTTGGATGAAATGACCTTTATTTTTCAGTCTAATACGGCTATTTACTTACTTTTGTAGCTCTTCGTCAGAAGCACCCTGTTGTACGTTGTTAGGTCTACTGTCCTCTTCAAGTTTAGCTGGAATTTAGGCCGAAAGGATTTGAGAAATATGATTGGTTGACGATAGGCCTATGCAGTGCTTAATTTGTAAATCGGGAGGTTCCAGAACACATAGTGAGCGTGAGGGGGGTTATCCGGGGGGCTCTGAGGAAAAAAGTGACAAACAACGTAGCAGCATAGAAGACAGATTAAACAGCCCAGTAGCCTCCTATCTATGGTGGTGAAATGGACAGCACTCTCCCAGTAGTCTACTATCTATGGTGGTGAAATGGACAGCACTCTCCCAGTAGCCTACTATCTATGGTGGTGAAATGGACAGCACTCTCCTAGTAGCCTCCTATCTATGGTGGTGAAATGGACAGCACTCTCCCAGTAGCCTACTATCTATGGTGGTGAAATGGACAGCACTCTCCCAGTAGCCTCCTATCTATGGTGGTGAAATGGACAGCACTCTCCCAGTAGCCTACTATCTATGGTGGTGAAATGGACAGCACTCTCCCAGTAGCCTCCTATCTATGGTGGTGAAATGGACAGCACTCTCCCAGTAGCCTACTATCTATGGTGGTGAAATGGACAGCACTCTCCCAGTAGCCTCCTATCTATGGTGGTGAAATGGACAGCACTCTCCCAGTAGCCTACTATCTATGGTGGTGAAATGGACAGCACTCTCCCAGTAGCCTCCTATCTATGGTGGTGAAATGGACAGCACTCTCCCAGTAGCCTACTATCTATGGTGGTGAAATGGACAGCACTCTCCCAGTAGCCTACTATCTATGGTGGTGAAATGAACAGCACTCTCCCAGTAGCCTACTATCTATGGTGGTGAAATGGACAGCACTCTCCCAGTAGCCTACTATCTATGGTGGTGAAATGGACAGCACTCTCCCAGTAGCCTACTATCTATGGTGGTGAAATGGACAGCACTCTCCCAGTAGCCTACTATCTATGGTGGTGAAATGGACAGCACTCTCCCAGTAGCCTCCTATCTATGGTGGTGAAATGGACAGCACTCTCCCAGTAGCCTACTATCTATGGTGGTGAAATGGACAGCACTCTCCCAGTAGCCTACTATCTATGGTGGTGAAATGGACAGCACTCTCCCAGTAGCCTCCTATCTATGGTGGTGAAATGGACAGCACTCTCCCAGTAGCCTCCTATCTATGGTGGTGAAATAGACAGCACTCTCCCAGTAGCCTACTATCTATGGTGGTGAAATGGACAGCACTCTCCCAGTAGCCTCCTATCTATGGTGGTGAAATGGACAGCACTCTCCCAGTAGCCTCCTATCTATGGTGGTGAAATGGACAGCACTCTCCCAGTAGCCTCCTATCTATAGTGGTGAAATGGACAGCACTCTCCCAGTAGCCTCCTATCTATGGTGGTGAAATGGACAGCACTCTCCCAGTAGCCTCCTATCTATGGTGGTGAAATGGACAGCACTCTCCCAGTAGCCTCCTATCTATGGTGGTGAAATGGACAGCACTCTCCTAGTAGCCTCCTATCTATGGTGGTGAAATGGACAGCACTCTCCCAGTAGCCTACTATCTATGGTGGTGAAATGGACAGCACTCTCCCAGTAGCCTCCTATCTATGGTGGTGAAATGGACAGCACTCTCCCAGTAGCCTACTATCTATGGTGGTGAAATGGACAGCACTCTCCCAGTAGCCTCCTATCTATGGTGGTGAAATGGACAGCACTCTCCCAGTAGCCTACTATCTATGGTGGTGAAATGGACAGCACTCTCCTAGTAGCCTCCTATCTATGGTGGTGAAATGGACAGCACTCTCCCAGTAGCCTACTATCTATGGTGGTGAAATGGACAGCACTCCCCCAGTAGCCTCCTATCTATGGTGGTGAAATGGACAGCACTCTCCCAGTAGCCTACTATCTATGGTGGTGAAATGGACAGCACTCTCCCAGTAGCCTCCTATCTATGGTGGTGAAATGGACAGCACTCTCCCAGTAGCCTCCTATCTATGGTGGTGAAATGGACAGCACTCTCCCAGTAGCCTCCTATCTTGTCTACAATGCTTGCTGCCACTAAATATGCTTTGGTTCAAAAACCTTTTTTCTTAGGGCTTTTTGTTGTTGTCTTTTTACGTCAGAGGCAGAGGACATTACTGTACATTCCACTGTTTCATCCATCCAGTCTCTTCTACAACCAACATTCCTACGTTTTTGCATGTTGTACAGCCCAGCTTTGAATTTGAATTTGAAAGTTTGGACACACCTACTCATTCCAGGGTTTTTCTTTATTTTTACTATTTCCTTCATTGTAGAATAATAGTGAAGACATCAGAACTATGAAATAACACATATGGAATCATGTAGTAACCAAAAAAAGTGTTAAAACAAATCTAAATATATTTTATATTTGAGATTCTTCAAAGTAGCCACTCTTTGCCATGATGACAGCACACACACACACACACACACACACACACACACACACACACACACACACACACACACACACACACACACACACACACACACACACACACACACACACACACACACACACACACACACACACACACACACTGTGTCTAGGGTGGGACTGTGACTCATGCTCTCCAACAGGGCTGGAATTAAATAAAGCAAACCTTGATTTATACACACAGTTCTAAGTACCGAAGCACTCCAGTTAAAACTACTCACCATGTTATCAGGCTAGTTGTGGGTGACAGGGTGTGGCTGACTTCTGTCTGTGCCCACTTTCCCTGTGTGCCAGCTGTATGTGCGTGTGTGTGTGTGCGTGCGTGTGGGTGTGGCGCATGGGTGTGGTGAGTGTGTGTGTGTGTGTGTGGGTGGTGAGTGTGTGTGTGTGTGTGTGTGTGGGTGTGGTGAGTGTGTGTGGGTGTGTGTGTGGTGAGTGTGTGTGTGTGTGTGTGTGTGTGTGTGTGTGTGTGGTGAGTGTGTGTGTGTGTGTGTGTGTGTGTGTGTGTGTGTGTATGTGGTGAGTGTGTGTGTGTGTGTATGTGGTGAGTGAGTGTGTGTGAGTGTGTGTGTGTATGTGGTGAGTGTGTGTGTGTGTGTATGTGGTGAGTGTGTGAGTGTGTGTGTGTGTGTGTGTGTGTGTGTGTGTGTGTGTGTGTGTGTGTGTGTGTGTGTGTGTGTGTGTGTGTGTGTGTGTGTGTGTGTGTGTGTGGTGAGTGTGTGAGCTGCTACCCGACAGCACACACACACACTCACCGGTCCCTGTAGGCTGTGGTCTATTTCAGCCACATAGCCTGCAGTGCTAGGAGCTACGAGTGTGTCTCAGTCTGTCTCCGTTGGGCCGAGAGGAGACCCAGTGAGTGGTTCTGACAGCAGGCCGTTGGGCCCTCCTCAGGGCCAGGACCCGGTCCAGGGAACACACACACAGCTCAGTCCCTCCAGGCCCCAACCCCTCTAGCACGGAACAGGCCTGGGAGTGAACTTCTCAGAGTTGACATCATCAGCCATTCCTTACCGCAGGAGATCACAGGCATTAGCATCATCCCTGTGTGTGTGTGTGTGGCAGACGCAGGATGAGTGTACTGTGACTCTCTCTGTCTCTCTCTAACCATGTCTCTCCCTCCTTCTCTCCACCCTATAGGAGCGACCCCATAGTGCGGTGGAGCAGCTGTGTGGTGGGGCTGTGGAGAAGGAGAGTGGCAGACGCAGGATGAGTGTACTGTGACTCTCTCTGTCTCTCTCTAACCATGTCTCTCCCTCTTTCTCTCCATCCTATAGGAGCGACCCCATAGTGTGGTGGAGCAGCTGTGTGGTGGGGCTGTGGAGAAGGAGAGTGGCAGACGCAGGATGAGTGTACTGTGACTCTCTCTGTCTCTCTCTAACCATGTCTCTCCCTCTTTCTCTCCATCCTATAGGAGCGACCCCATAGTGCGGTGGAGCAGCTGTGTGGTGGGGCTGTGGAGAAGGAGAGTGGCAGACCCAGGATGAGTGTAGAGGAGCAGCTGGAGAGGATCAGGAGACACCAACAGGGGGCGCTAAGAGAGAAGAAGAAAGGGCTTCACATCCTGGCAGGAAGTAGCTGCAACAGCCAGCAGGACAACGCCACACACAGCCACAGTACCGCGTCAACACCATCACGCAGCCCCTCGTTCACCAAGGAGAACCCCTTCCGCAGCATGCAGGTAGGTACACAAAGAGTCACAGGTACAGTGCTGCAGGATTGGAAACAATGTATTATATTAAATACAGTCCAAGTCGGAAGTAGAGTACATTTCTGATTTAAACCATTTTTAAATTGACTCCAAACCCTGCGGTGCCAAACCTCAGAACAGACACACACAGACGGGTTCACGGAGATAAAGTGTTGCTGTATTCCAGCAGAATCGTCGTCAGCGTGGCGAGGTGATGAGCAGTGACATCCTGGAGTTGGAGGCGTCACTCAGAGAACAGGAAGTGGTCAGAGAGCAGGAGACGCCGGCCGAGGAGATAGCACGCCTTAAAGAGGCCACACACACTGACCACTACAACATGGACAGAGAGGTACGTATGGATGAGCCTCCCCTCTGAGCCTGGTTCCTCTCTAGGTTTCTTCCATCTGAGGAGTTTTGCTGGCCGGTGTGCATCTGCTTGTTCTTAGGCGTCTAGGCTGAATTACTGTAAGCACTTTTTGACAAGTGCTTTATCTGTTCTCTCTCTAGCTGTCAGTCCCTGAGAAGGTGTTGATTCCAGAGCGTTATGTGGAGTCAGATCCAGAGGAGGCTCTCAGTCCAGAGCAGGAGGCTGACAAACAGAAGAAAGTGGACCGCATCAAAGCCCTCATCGCCAAAAACAGGTAGCTAACCCCCCACCCACCAAGACCTACTGTATACCATACGCTCAGCAGTACAGACCTGTTCCATTCAGTGGTCTAACTGTAGTCTCAGGAAATGGGGATCATCCAACCACAACCTCTATCAACCTGCAAGAAGAAGAATACTTGACCTCCATTTATTTTTCGAAAACAAAAAAAAATGGAGACACGGAAGTCTGTGTGTCTTTCTGTTCTTTTCACAATCTGTCTGAAAGGTAATTAATTCCAGCTGGTCAGGGTTGGTATTTACCAGTGGACAGGGTTGGTATTTACCAGTGGACAGGGTTAATATTTACCAGTGGACAGGGTTGGTATTTACCAGTGGACAGGGTTGGTATTTACCAGTGGACAGGGTTGGTATTTACCAGCTGGTCAGGGTTGGTATTTACCAGTGGACAGGGTTGGTATTAACCAGCTGGTTAGGGTTGGTATTTACCAGTGGACAGGGTTGGTATTTACCAGCTGGTCAGGGTTGGTATTTACCAGTGGACAGGGTTGGTATTTACCAGCTGGTCAGGGTTGGTATTTACCAGTTGACAGGGTTGGTATTAACCAGCTGGTCAGGGTTGGTATTTACCAGTGGACAGGGTTGGTATTTACCAGTGGACAGGGTTGGTATTTACCAGTGGACAGGGTTGGTATTAACCAGCTGGTCAGGGTTGGTATTTACCAGTGGACAGGGTTGGTATTTACCAGTGGACAGGGTTGGTATTTACCAGCTGGTCAGGGTTGGTATTTACCATTGGACAGGGTTGGTATTAACCAGCTGGTCAGGGTTGGTATTTACCAGTGGACAGGGTTGGTATTAACCAGCTGGTCAGGGTTGGTATTTACCAGCTGGTCAGGGTTGGTATTTACCAGTGGACAGGGTTGGTATTAACCAGCTGGTCAGGGTTGGTATTTACCAGCTGGTCAGGGTTGGTATTTACCAGTGGACAGGGTTTGTATTAACCAGCTGGTCAGGGTTGGTATTTACCAGTGGACAGGGTTGATATTAACCAGCTGGTCAGGGTTGGTATTTACCAGTGGACAGGGTTGGTATTAACCAGCTGGTCAGGGTTGGTATTTACCAGCTGGTCAGGGTTGGTATTTACCAGTGGACAGGGTTGGTATTAACCAGCTGGTCAGGGTTGGTATTTACCAGCTGGTCAGGGTTGGTATTTACCAGTGGACAGGGTTGGTATTAACCAGCTGGTCAGGGTTGGTATTTACCAGTGGACAGGGTTGGTATTTACCAGCTGGTCAGGGTTGGTATTTACCAGTTGACAGGGTTGGTATTAACCAGCTGGTCAGGGTTGGTATTTACCAGTGGACAGGGTTGGTATTTACCAGTGGACAGGGTTGGTATTTACCAGTGGACAGGGTTGGTATTAACCAGCTGGTCAGGGTTGGTATTTACCAGTGGACAGGGTTGGTATTTACCAGTGGACAGGGTTGGTATTTACCAGCTGGTCAGGGTTGGTATTTACCAGTGGACAGGGTTGGTATTAACCAGCTGGTCAGGGTTGGTATTTACCAGTGGACAGGGTTGGTATTAACCAGCTGGTCAGGGTTGGTATTTACCAGCTGGTCAGGGTTGGTATTTACCAGTGGACAGGGTTGGTATTAACCAGCTGGTCAGGGTTGGTATTTACCAGCTGGTCAGGGTTGGTATTTACCAGTGGACAGGGTTTGTATTAACCAGCTGGTCAGGGTTGGTATTTACCAGTGGACAGGGTTGATATTAACCAGCTGGTCAGGGTTGGTATTTACCAGTGGACAGGGTTGGTATTAACCAGCTGGTCAGGGTTGGTATTTACCAGCTGGTCAGGGTTGGTATTTACCAGTGGACAGGGTTGGTATTAACCAGCTGGTCAGGGTTGGTATTTACCAGCTGGTCAGGGTTGGTATTTACCAGTGGACAGGGTTGGTATTAACCAGCTGGTCAGGGTTGGTATTTACCAGTGGACAGGGTTGGTATTAACCAGCTGGACAGTTCACAGCACATAGTGTGACCTGTGTTCCCTCCAGATCCAGCTGTAGCTGGCTATCAGGACATTTATTTGTTAGGATATTTGATTTATAAAACATACTTTTTTTGTGTCCTGGGGTAATTGTGTTTTGTGCAAATGCAATATATTTCTGTGTTCTGTTTCTCCAGTATGCAGAATGTGCTCTCTCCTCCTGATGTGGTGCTGAGCCCTGAGGAGGAAACTGAGGAGGCCACAGTGTGTCCTAACCCTAACTCTCTCTCTCTCTCTGTCTCTGTCTCTGTCTCTGTGTCTGTCTCTGTGTCTGTCTCTGTCTCTGTCTCTCTCTCTCTGTCTCTCTCTCTGTCTGTCTCTGTCTCTCTCTCTGTCTCTGTCTTTCTCTCTGTCTCTCTCTCTGTCTCTCTCTCTGTCTCTCTCTTTGTCTCTGTCTCTCTCTGTCTCTGTCTCTGTCTCTCTCTCTGTCTCTGTCTCTCTGTCTCTGTCTCTCTCTGTCTCTGTCTCTGTCTCTGTCTCTCTGTCTCTGTCTCTGTCTCTGTCTCTGTGTCTGTCTCTGTCTCTGTCTCTGTCTCTGTGTCTGTCTCTGTGTCTGTGTCTGTCTCTCTCTCTCTCTCTCTCTCTCTCTCTCTCCCCCCCAGTATGCAGAATGTGCTCTCTCCTCCTGGTCCAGAGAAGGAGGATGAGGAGGAGGCCACAGCTCAGGATCAGGAGAAAATGATCAACATATCCTATGAACTGGCTGCTGAGGCCTCCAAACGCAGCAAGCTGGTGGCAGGTACAGTACAGCACAGTATAACAGTACAGCACAGGATCATAAAGGACAGGATAGTTTAGTACAGCACAGTGTAACATTACAGAACAGTACACCACTGTACACTACACTACAGTACAGTACAGTATTGTATAGAACATTCTACAACATCTCCTACGACCACTAGCCAGCCCCCGCCCAGTACCCTGCCCTGAACTTCAGTCACTGTCACTAGCCGGCTACCACCCTGTTAATCTACCATACACCTTAGTGGCTGCTGCCCTATGTACAGTTGAAGTCGGAAGTTTACATACACTTAGGTTGGAGTCATTAAAACTTGTTTTTCAACCACTCCACAAATTTGTTGTTAACAAACTATAGTTTTGGCAAGTCGGTTAGGACATCTACTTTGTGCATGACACAAGTAATTTTTCCAACAATTGTTTACAGACAGATTATTTCACTGTATCACAATTCCAGTGGGTCAGAAGTTTATATACACTAAGTTGACTGTGCCTTTAAACAGCTTGGAAAATTCCAGAAAATCATGGCTTTAGAAGCTTCTGATAGGCTAATTGACATCATTTTAGTCAATTGGAGGTGTACCTGTGGATGTATTTCAAGGCATACCTTCAAACTCAGTGCCTCTTTGCTTGACATCATAGGAAAAAATCAAAAGAAATCAGCCAAGACCTCAGAAAAAAAATGGTAGACCTCCACAAGTCTGGTTCATCATTGGGTGCAATTTCCAAACACCTGAAGGTACCATGTTCATCTGTACAAACAATATAAACACCATGGGACCACGCAGCCGTCACACCGCTCAGGAAGGAGATGCGTTCTGTCTCCTAGAGATGAACATACTTTGGTGCGAAAAGTGCAAATCAATCTCAGAACAACAGCAAAGGACCTTGTGAAGATGCTGGAAGGAACAGGTACAAAAGTATCTATATCCACAGTAAAACGAGTCCTATATCGACATAACCTGAAAGGCCGCCCAGCAAGGAAGAAGCCACTGCTTCAAAACCGCCATTAAATAAGCCAGACTACGGTTTGCAACTGCATATGGGGACAAATATCGTACTTTTTGGAGAAATGTCCTCTGGTCTGATGAAACAAAAATAGAACTGTTTGGCCATAATGACCATCATTATGTTTGGAGGAAAAAGGGGGTGCTTGCAAGCCGAAGAACACCATCCCAACCGTGAAGCACGCTGGTGGCAGCATCATGCTGTGGGGGTGCTTTGCTGCAGGAGGGACTGGTGCACTTCACAAAATAGATGGCATCATGAAGAAGGAAAATTATGTGGATATATTGAAGCAACATCTCGACATCAGTCCGGAAGTTAAAGCTTGGTCGCGAATGGGTCTTCCAAATGGACAATGATCCAAAGCATACTTCCAAAGTTGTGGCAAAATGACTTAAGGACAACAAAGTCAAGGTATTGGAGTGGCCATCACAAAGCCCTGACCTCAATCCTATAGAACGTTTGTGGGTGTCACGGATTCTGCCGAGACTGCTCCTCCTCCTGGTTCGGGCAGGCTTCGGCGTTCGCCGTCCCCGGAGTACTAGCTGCTACCGCGCCATGTTTCTTGGTGTGATTGCTTTCGTCTGTCTTTTACACCTGTGTCCGTTTGTGTGCTGATTACTTGTCCTATAAGTTCCTTGTTTTGCTTAGGTTAGATTGTGTGTTGTTTTTCGCCTGTCCGTTGTGCTGCGTGTTTTGTACCTGTTTTCTTGTTTATTTGTGTTACGCACAGTTTGCGTATTTTGCTCGCCTCTGTTTATTGTTGAGGCCGTTCTCTGTATTTCTGCCTATTGGTAAACTTCAGTAAACTTTGTTGGACTAGCTTCGGTGTCCTGCGCCTGACTTCCACACACCTTACACCTCAGTCCTTGACAGTGGGCAGAACTGAAAAAGCGTATGCGAGCAAGGAGGCCTACAAACCTGACTCAGTTACACCAGCTCTGTCAGGAGGAATGGGCCAAAATTCACCAAACTTATTGTGGGAAGCTTGTGGAAGGCTACCCGAAACGTTTGACCCAAGTTAAACAATTTAAAGGCAATGCTACCAAATACTAATTGAGTGTATGTAAACTTCTGACCCACTGGGAATGTGATGAAAGAAATAAAAGCTGAAATAAAGCTGGGGCGGCAGGTAGCTTAGTGGTTAAGAGCGTTGTGCCAGTAATCGAAAGGTCGCTGGTTCTAATCCCTGAGCCGACTAGGTGAAAAATCTGTCGATGTGCCCTTGAGCAAGGCACTTAACCCTAATTGCTCCTGTAAGTCGCTCTGGATAAGAGTGTCTGCTAAATGTAAATAAATCATTCTCTCTACTATTATTCTGACATTTCACATTCTTAAAATAAAGTGGTGATCCTAACTGACCTAAGACAGGGAATTTTTACTAGGATTAAATGTCAGGAATTGTGAAAAACTGAGTTGAAATGTATTTGGCTAAGTTGTATGTAAACTTCCGACTTCAACTGTATACAGTCATGGAACAGGTCACTTTAATAATGTTAACTATTGCTGTACATATACTATTATTCAGATACTGTATACTACATATTATAAACTGGGTGGTTCGAGCCCTGAATGCTGATTGGCTGACAGCCGTGGTATATCAGACCGTATACCACGGGTATGACAAAACACAGTTTATAATAGCAATAAGGCACCTCTGGGGTTTGTGGTATATGGCCAATATACCACGGCTAAGGGCTGTATCCAGGCACTCCGCATTGCGTGGTGCTTAAGAACATCCCTTAGCCGTGGTATATTGGCCATATACCACACCCCCTCAGGCCTTATTACTTAATTATAACCATATACTGTCCATATTGTATATACAGCCCATCACATATTTATATATATTTATATTTATACTCCGGACTCCGACATTGCTCGTCCTAATATTTCTATATTTCTTAATTCCATTCTTTTACTTTTAGATTAGTCAATCAATGAAATTGTATTTATAAAGCACTTTTTACATAAGCAGATGTTACAAAGTGCTGTACAGAAACCCAGCCTAAAACCCCAAACAGCAAGCAATGTAGAAGCACGGTGGCTAGGAAAAACTCCCTAGAAAGGCAGAAACCTAGGAAGAAACCTAGAAGAACCAGGGTCTGATGGGTGGCCAGTCCCCTTCTGGCTGTGCCGGGTGGAGATTATATCAGTACATGGCCATTAAGGCCAGATTTTTCTCCAAGATGTTCAAACATTCATAGATGACCAGCAGGGTCAAATAATAATCACAGTGGTTGTAGAGGTTGCAACAGGTCAGTACATCAGGAGTAAATGTCACTTGGCTTTTCATAGCCGGGCATTTAGAGGTTGAAATAGCAGGTGCGGTAGAGAGAGAGAGAGAGAGTTGAAAACAGCAGGTCTGGGACAGGGTAGCACGTCCGGTGAACAGGTCAGGGTTCCATAGCCGCAGACAGAAGAGTTGAAACTGGAGCAACAGCACGACCAGGTGGACTGGGGACAGCAAGGAGTCATCAGGCCAGGTAGTCCTGAGGCATGGTCCTAGGGCTCAGGTCCTCCGGGAGGGGAGGGAGAGAGGGAGTATATAGTGTGTATTGTTGTGTATTGTTAGATATTACTGCACTGTTGGAGCTAGAAACACAAGCATTTCGCTACACCCGCAATAACATCTGCTAAATATGTGTGTGACCAATACAATTTGATTTGATTTGGAGCTGGTTGCCGAGGCATCCAGACACACAACATAGGACAAGACAGGAGAAGAACAACACAGCTTAGTTAACTTATTTGTCACATTTTGTTCAAATTATGCAATCAATTCATGCTGCTTGTATGGCTTCATATTTCCTTCATCGAATGTTATATGCCACAGGATATAACATTGATTTATTCACATGACATAACATGCATAACAGTATATATTTGTTTATTTGATTTACATCATTGATTTGCTTGACTTGTTTTGTCATTCATTAACTTTTGTTGTTGTTGTTGAAAGAATGAAATAAGTAATGTACACAACTTGTTTGTTTTGTGTGTGTGTGTGTGTGTGTGTGTGTGTGTGTGTGTGTGTGTGTGTGTGTGTGTGTGTGTGTGTGTGTGTGTGACCATGTCGTGTGGTGTGTGTTCATGTACGTGGTGTGCGTCCTGTGTGGTTTGCAGTGCGCAGCTTGTCGTCCTCCTCACCTCCTCCTGACCCCCAACCCTCCTCATCTCCACCTCCTAACACACAGCCACCCCCCCAGCTCACTGACGGCTCCCACTTCATGTGTGTGTAGTAGCAGCAGCAGTAAGTGTGTGTAGGAACGCCCGTAAGAGCCTCTCCTCTCTGTTCGGCCTCTCCTCTCTGTTCGGCCTCTCCTCTCTGTTCGGCCTCTCCTCTCTGTTCGGCCTCTCCTCTCTGTTCGGCCTCTCCTCTCTGTTCGGCCTCTCCTCTCTGTTCGGCCTCTCCTCTCTGTTCGGCCTCTCCTCTCTGTTCGGCCTCTCCTCTCTGTTCGGCCTCTCCTCTCTGTTCGGCCTCTCCTCTCTGTTCGGCCTCTCCTCTCTGTTCGGCCTCTCCTCTCTCGTTCTCTCTCTCCATCTCCCTCACACTTTCTCACTCTGTCTTCCTCTCTCGTTATTTCTCTCTCTCCATCTCCCTCACACTTTCTCACTCTGTCTTCCTCGCTCTCTCTCCTTTTTAAAAATCCCTTTCTTTCTTTCTTTCTTTCTTTCTTTCTCTTTTTAGCCCTGGCCTCAGTGAAGACCTACACGTGAGAGATGTGTCAAAGGAGAGTTGAGGCTCCCGCTTATTATGAAGAAGACCTCTACCCTAGGACATGACACACCCAGCACAAAATCCAACAGAAGTGGACTGACTGACAGACTGATGGCCCGTTAGACCACGCCATGCTCTGGACCTTACGTGCTCTCTGTTCAATCTATACCTTACTATGACATCACATCCTCCTGTGCCATGACGTCAATTCATGTTGCCACATTGCCTCCCTCTGTCATCCCCTCCCTTTAACATCACCACCACTTTCCCTTCATCTCCCCCCTCACCTACTCTCTATGGTATCACCCTTCCTCTCCCCCCTCACCTACTCTCTATGGTATCACCCTTCCTCTCCCTCCTCACCTACTCTCCATGGTATCACCCTTCCTCTCCCCCTCACCTACTCTCCATGGTATCACCCTTCCTCTCCCCCTCACCTACTCTCTATGGTATCACCCTTCCTCTCCCCCTCACCTACTCTCTATGGTATCACCCTTCCTCTCCCCCCTCACCTACTCTCTATGGTATCACCCTTCCTCTCCCCCTCACCTACTCTCTATGGTATCACCCTTCCTCTCCCCCCCTCACCTACTCTCCATGGTATCACCCTTCCTCTCCCCCTCACCTACTCTCTATGGTATCACCCTTCCTCTCCCCCTCACCTACTCTCTATGGTATCACATTTGATCTTTGCAACAATGAGACAATAATAAGGCATCGGTAATGTTGCTTTTAGAATATAATTAGTTCCATTGCCGTTATTTATATAGTTTAAAGTTGGAGTTGATGATTCTGATTCTCTGATTGAATATTATCTGATGGATAGGGTGTGTTCAGAGCATAAGGCCTGAATCCTGCTGTGATGACTCCTTCCCTTGGGAAAAGACTGTCACGTGTTCAATACACACAGACACAGTAATGCCAATAACATTTTCACAGTTCAAGAGTTCCGCTGTTCAGCTTGGTTTTATAACTATTTTAGTTCATTTAAGTTGTAAAAAAAAAAAAAACACTGCATACATATTTTAGTAATTCAAGTCCAGTGTACAAACCATTTCTGTTTTATACGTCTAAATATATACGAGAAACAAATATAGTTGATTTATAGATTCAAAGAAGGTACCACTTTATTGCTGCAGAGGAGTATGGATGAGATTTGTAATATTTTTTTTCTGGGTGGTTGTAATTGTATTTATACGTCGGATCTTCTGCAGTTCCCTGTCTGCAGCCGAATGGCACTATTCCAACTGTAGTGCACTACTTTGTATCAGGGGCCCACAGGGCTCTGGACAAAAGGAATGTACTACGTATTAGGGAACAGGGTGCCATTTTGGATACGGACCCTGTCGCACTGTTGTTGCCGACACACATGAATGTTTTGGCTTTAAAAAATATATATATGCTTCGTTTGTGTTTTTCTATTGCAAAGAAGAGAAGAGATATATTTAAAAAATGATAGAAAAAAGGAAAATGTTTTCAGACCGAGGTTTGGTTTAGAAGTCTATTTTACGACTAGTTGGTTTTGGTGGTGTCCTGGATCAGAGAGATAAAGGGATAGAATAGCACATGTAAAAAGCAATAAACAGATGGTTCTAGATCTGCCTCCCAAATGGCACCCTTCTTCCTATATAGTCAAAAGTAGTGCACTATATTACATTTACATTTTAGTCATTTAGCAGACGCTCTTATCTAGAGCATGTGAGTACATAAATTTTTCATACACACACACATATATATATAGGGAATAGGGTGTCATTTGGGACACATCATAGGTTTAGTATACAAACTGTAATTACCTAAATTAAGTTATTTGTGTATATACTTTACGGTACGCGGTACATTGTGTATATATCAGGGGTTGGAACCGGTTCAGGGGAACAGAACAGAAAACCGGAAAAGAACGAGGAACCAAAACCGAGAACGACAGAGATCTATACTGTTCCGGAACAGAACCGTTATTTTTAAAAGCATGGGAACCGGTTAATAACATAATTTTATGTTCCGGGCATTTTTTTTCCAGTCCCACAAAAAAAAAAACGCAACAAAGCACCTATGCAAAGCCCTCACCTGTCACTTTGAAAGGTATTCCAGTGTCTGCCTGCCTGCCAACTGAAAAGCTTTGGCAGTGTGTAGGTGTGTGTAGGCTAGCAGCCCCTCCCCCTCCCTCCTAAGCATCATCTACTGAAACTACTGACGTTACAGGCATGATTCAGAAATTAAAGAGAATGGTTTTTTAATTAGAGAACAATGGATTAACTTTTTCAATGCTAGTTAAGGATACTATAGTTATAACGTTTCACATTGGATTTATTAACTACAAAAATATGTTTTTATTTTAATTTCTGGTGCTGCTCTGCACACACAAGCTTGTTAGCTAGCTAGCTCTGGTATAGCTCTCAAACGCTAGACGGCATTATGTATAATGTAATGTAACTGAGAGTCATGATCAAGGGCTATCTCTGGTCCAACGTTAGTTAAGCCAACTCTGAAGTTCAAAGACATTCAAACCTAACTGTAAGTCGCTCTGGATAAGAGTGTCTGCTAAATGACTAAAATGTAAATGTAAAGTTCCTTCATTAGAAGCCATATTCCTCCGTAGGCTTCATGCCCAGCGCTCTCTTCACCCGCAATATTTAATTTGCATGTCGCACCCTACACTACACTTGTCTGTCCAATGCATGTATACTGAGCAAAAATATAAACGCAACATGCAACAATTTTATCGATTTTATGGAGTTACAGTTCATATGAGGAACTCAGTCAATTTAAATAAATAAATTAGGCCCTAATCTATGGACTTCACATGACTGGGAATACAGATATGCATCTGTTGGTCACAGATACCTTTAAAAAAACGGCCCTCACAATGGGCCTCAGGATCTCGTCACGGTATTTTTGTGCATTCAAATTGCCATCGATAAAATGCAATTGTGTTCATTGTCCGTAGCTTATGCCTGCCCATACCATAACCCCACCGCCACCATGGGGCACTCTGTTCACGTTGACATCAGCAAACCGCTCGCCCACACGACGCCATACACTGCGGTTGTGAGGCCGGTTGGACGTACTGCCAAATTCTCTAAAACGATGTTGGAGCACAGAAGGTTTGTGGCACCTTCATTGGGGAAGAGGGGCTGGTGATACTGGCTGGAGCAGGATCAGTGGAATGGTATCAAATACATCAATCACATAGTTTCTATGTGTTTAATGCTATTCCATTTGCTTCGTTCCAGCCATTATTATGAGCATTCCTCCCCTCAGCAGCCTCCACTGTGTTGGATGTGGCTTATGGTAGAGAAATGAACATTCACTTCTCTGGCAACAGCTCTGGTGGACATTCCTGCAGTCAGCATGCACGCTCCCTCAAAACTTGAGACATCTGTGGCATTGTGTTGTGTGACAAAACTGCATGTTTTAGAGTGGTCTTTTATTGTCCCCAGCACAAGGTGCACCTGTGTAAGGATCATGCTGTTTAATCAGCTTCTTGATATGCCACACCTGTCAGGTGGATGGATTATCTTGGAAAAGGAGAAACGCTCACTAACAGGGATGTAAACAAATTTGTGGACAAAATCTGAGAGAAATAAGCTTTTTGTGAGTATGGACATTTTCGGGTATCTTTTATTTGAGCTCATGAAACATGGGACCAACACTTTACATGTTGCGTTTATATTTGAGTTCAGTGTACATACTGTAGCAGACCCGCTCCATAGCAAGCTGCTCTATCCATTGGTGAAGTCATTTAATGTTGAGCTAAATGAAAAAACATTTTGATTTCAGAGGTTTAAAACGGAACAGAAAGGAACAATATAAAATGTAACTTTTTGGGGGTTTGAACCGGTTCAGAACCATATTTTGCTGGTCGGAACAGTGGAACGGAACAAAACAAACGATTGGAAAATAATTTTGGTTCCAACCCCTGGTATAAACTGTATCATAGTACGTTGTACATTGTGTATTAGTGCTGAGCGATTATTGCTTTTTTTGGACAGTTCGGTTAGATTCGTTTTTAAAAAATTCACCGTTTTCGATTTCGGTTCCGATTATTTTTATAGATATGAAATGCACTATGCATTATTATGTGGGTTGAATGTTGTAACAACACAGAATAAAAACAATTAATAAAAGTCCCGTGATGGTAGTGACTGCCCATTACTGCTTATCACTTATTAACCATCATTTATTCACATTACTTTAATAAAATATTTAAATTGTTCTGTATATTGCATTTGTTTTATTTGATTACTTGATTATTTCATTCCAAGTGATCATCTCATCTCTATAGAGCTGCTGCCTGTTGTCTGACAAAATCACTATCTTTGCAGGAGTATAAGTATAACTTTGTTTTTTCCTGGTACAGGACCTCCTATACTGTATGTTCATGCGCTTGCGTGGGTACCAAAAATATTATGGGCCTAATCATAGAAGTACATATAGAATCCCTATTAATTCAATACTCTGTGGGCCTATTCGTAAATACTTTTTAAATGTATTACCTTTTATTGTGGCATGAACACAACCAGTCATGATGTTTTCATCTGATTGTCAAACAATCACTTCAAAGGTCTCCTTTACTAGGCTACCTGCACATGTTCATCCACTCGCAACAGATTTCCAGCCTCCAAACAGTTGGTGAATGAAAAGAGACATCTGTGTTACACAAAACACCAAAAAAGTCGAATGACGTTTGCCGACTGTCATTAGGCCAGAATTTGTGCGGCCACTGCTGTCCGCTCGCGCCTCTCTGTCGGCCACTCATCTCTGCCTTGGCAAAATTGCAGTGTTCTTGTCAAACCACATCGCATTTTGCAGAGTAGGCTATACCACCCATTAAATCCATTTGCTCATTTTCCATGCCTCTGATGTGGTAATGATAAACAGTGGTGTAACGGCCTACAGTTTTCTGGACATTTTGTTTTCCCCCACTATTTATTTTGCCGGGACGCCGTACCGGACAGCCTTACTTTCACCCCTGCTTTTATGACTACTGAATACCAACTATCAATCACTTAGATCATGTATTTTCAGGCAGAGATACCTCGCAAAGCAACTGCTTTCTATCCCTCTTGATCACGCGTTCTCTGATCTCTCTGTCTCTGTGTCTGCTCCACACAGACTGGACAAGTAGGCAATGGATTATGGTCATTGAAGTGAATTACCACGTTTTACGCACTTAACTATAGAATATTGGCCTGTTGGAAACTACACCTCCCGACTACACCGCACAGTTTGGGGATGATCTGATTTATCTCTAGTTTAACTGTGCATCGAGCTCACAGAAAGAAAAAGAAAAAACGAACTAAATAGAATTCAAA